ATACCTTGTACATGTACTGGTATACCTTGTACATGTACTGGTATACCTTGTACATGTACTGGTATACCTTGTACATGTACTTGTATACCTCGTACATGTACTGGTATACCTTGTACATGTACTGGTATGCCTTGTACATGTACTGGTATACCTTGTACATGTACTTGTATACCTTGTACATGTACTTGTATACCTTGTACATGTACTGGTATACCTTGTACATGTACTGGTATGCCTTGTACATGTACTGGTATGCCTTGTACATGTACTGGTATGCCTTGTACATGTACTGGTATACCTTGTACATGTACTAGTATACCTTGTACATGTACTTGTATACCTTGTACATGTACTGGTATACCTTGTACATGTACTGGTATACCTTGTACATGTACTGGTATACCTTGTACATGTACTGGTATGCCTTGTACATGTAATGGTATACCTTGTACAGTACTTGTATACCTTGTACATGTACTTGTATACCTTGTACATGTACTGGTATACCTTGTACATGTACTTGTATAACCTTGTACATGTACTGGTATGCCTTGTACATGTACTGGTATACCTTGTACATGTACTTGTATACCTTGTACATGTACTGGTATACCTTGTACATGTACTTGTATACCTTGTACATGTACTGGTATGCCTTGTACATGTACTGGTATACCTTGTACATGTACTGGTATACCTTGTACATGTACTGGTATACCTTGTACATATACGGGTATACCTTGTACATGTACTTGTATACCTTGTACATGTACTTGTATACCTTGTACTGTACTGGTATACCTTGTACATGTACTGGTATAACCTTGTACATGTACTGGTATACCTTGTACATGTACTTGTATACCTTGTTCATGTACTGGTATGCCTTGTACATGTACTGGTATACCTTGTACATGTACTGGTATACCTTGTACATGTACTTGTATACCTTGTACATGTACTTGTATACCTTGTACATGTACTTGTATACCTTGTACATGTACTTGTATACCTTGTACATGTACTGGTATGCCTTGTACATGTACTGGTATACCTTGTACATGTACTGGTATACCTTTTTACATGTACTGGTATACCTTGTACATGTACTTGTATACCTTGTACATGTATTTGTATACCTTGTACATGTACGGTATACCTTGTACATGTACTGGTATACCTTGTACATGTACTGGTATGCCTTGTACATGTACTTGTATACCTTGTACATGTACTGGTATACCTTGTACATGTACTGGTATACCTTGTACATGTACTGGTATACCTTGTACATGTACTGGTATACCTTGTACATGTACTGGTATGCCTTGTACATGTACTTGTATACCTTGTACATGTACTGGTATACCTTGTACATGTACTTGTATACCTTGTACATGTACTGGTATACCTTGTACATGTACTGGTATACCTTGTACATGTACTGGTATACCTTGTACATGTATTTGGTATACCTTGTACATGTACTGGTATACCTTTGTACATGTACTGGTATACCTTGTACATGTACTGGTATACCTTGTACATGTACTGGTATACCTTGTACATGTACTGGTATGCCTTGTACATGTACTTGTATACCTTGTACATGTACTGGTATACCTTGTATATGTAGAAATAAAGATACTATTATTATTATTATTATTATTATTATTATTATTATTATTATTATTATTATTATAAGTTCATCTGACATTTTTGGGTTATCCTCGTAGGTTATTTACACATATGTTTCTATATACCATAATTTGTACTCACCTAACTGTGGTTGCATGGGTCGATTCACAGCTCCTGGCCCCATGTACGTGCATCTGAATAATTTAACGTATTTTTATTTTTTTTTATCTAAAACACCCTTGAAATTACTTTTTTTTAAGAGAAGAAAACTGAAATAATTTCCGTTTTCTTTTAATATCATCGCTAACTTAGCTAAAAAAATATTTTTTAATATGAGTCAGAGAATATTTAAGTTTGTATATGAGATTTGTGTACGTAATATATTTTAGGATAGGGTAACCCAGGATAACCTAGGGTAATCCAGGATAACCTAGGATAACCTAGGATGACCAGGATAACCTAGGGTAACCCAGGATAACCAAGGATAACTTAGGATGACCCAGGATAACCTAGGATGACCCAGGATAACCTAAGATGGCCCAGGATAACCTAGGTTGACCCAGGATAATCTAGGATAACCCAGGATAACCTAGACCCAGGATAACCTAGGATGATCCAGGATAACCTAAGATGACCCAGGATAACCTAGGTTGACCCAGGATGACCTAGGATGACCCAGGATAATCTAGGATAACCCAGGAGGATGACCCAGGATAACCTAGGATAACTTAGGATGACCTAGGATGACCCAGGATAACCTTGGATGACCCAGGATAACCTAAGATGACCCAGAATAACCTAGGATGACCCCAGGATAACCTAGGATGACCCCAGGATAACCTAGGATGACCCAGGATAACCAAGGATGGACCCAGGATAACCTAGGATGACCCAGGATAACCCAGGATAACCTAATAAAACCCAGGATAATTCGTGGCCTGGAAGACAACGCACTCGCCGCACTGACAGTACAAGGGTTCAATCCCGAGCACGGCTGGATACATTGGGCGTGGTACCTTACACCTGCTGTCAGTGTTCACCTAGCAGTAAGTAGGTACCTGGGTGTTAGTTACCTTACACCTACTGTCACTGTTCACTTAGCAGCAAGTAGGTACGTGGGTGTTAGTTACCTTACACCTACTGTCACGGTTCACCTAGCAGCAAGTAGGTACCTGGGTGTTAGTTACCTTACACCTACTGTCACTGTTCACTTAGCAAGTAGGTACCTGGGTGTTAGTTACCTTACACCTACTGTCACTGTTCACTTAGCAATAAGTAGGTACCTGGGTGTTAGTTACCTTACACCTGCTGTTACTGTTCACCTAGCAGTAAGTAGGTACCTGGGTGTTAGTCACCTTATACCTGCTGCCACTGTTCACTTAGCAGCAAGTAGGTACCTGGGTGTTAGTTACCTTACACCTGCTGTTACTGTTCACCTAGCAGTAAGTAGGTACCTGGGTGTTAGTTACCTTATACCTGCTGCCACTGTTCACTTAGCAGCAAGTAGGTACCTGGGTGTTAGTTACCTTACACCTGCTGTTACTGTTCACCTAGCAGTAAGTAGGTACCTGGGTGTTAGTCACCTTATACCTGCTGCCACTGTTCACTTAGCAGCAAGTAGGTACCTGGGTGTTAGTTACCTTACACCTGCTGTTACTGTTCACCTAGCAGTAAGTAGGTACCTGGGTGTTAGTCACCTTATACCTGCTGCCACTGTTCACTTAGCAGCAAGTAGGTACCTGGGTGTTAGTTACCTTACACCTGCTGTTACTGTTCACCTAGCAGTAAGTAGGTACCCGGGTGTTAGTCACCTTATACCTGCTGCCACTGTTCACTTAGCAGCAAGTAGGTACCTGGGTGTTAGTTACCTTACACCTGCTGTTACTGTTCACCTAGCAGTAAGTAGGTACCCGGGTGTTAGTCACCTTATACCTGCTGCCACTGTTCACTTAGCAGCAAGTAGGTACCTGGGTGTTAGTTACCTTATACCTGCTGCCACTGTTCTTTTTTTTTTTTTTTATTCGCCGGTATTCTCCCGGCCCGGGTCTTTTCCAAGTAGTGGTGATCCGGCCTTGACTCCCTATCTGGGGAGTGTCTCGAGACTTAAGTCTCCCATGGGAGGAGGTACAAGTACCTCCTCATCTTTGGGACCAAGTGTCCCCAGGCCTAGCAAATGTACAGAGAACCTTCACGGCGCGCATAACGGAGATAAAACACCTCAATTACTGGGAGCGCTTGAGGTTCCTAAGCCTGTATTCCCTGGAACGCAGGCGGGAGAGATACATGATTATATACACCTGGAAAATCCTAGAGGGACTAGTACCGAACTTGCACACGAAAATCACTCACTACGAAAGCAAAAGACTTGGCAGACGATGCAACATCCCCCCAATGAAAAGCAGGGGTGTCACTAGCACGTTAAGAGACCATACAATAAGTGTCAGGGGCCCGAGACTGTTCAACTGCCTCCCAGCATACATAAGGGGGATTACCAACAGACCCCTGGCAGTCTTCAAGCTGGCACTGGACAAGCACCTAAAGTCGGTTCCTGATCAGCCGGGCTGTGGCTCGTACGTTGGTTTGCGTGCAGCCAGCAGCAACAGCCTGGTTGATCAGGCTCTGATCCACCATGAGACCTGGTCACAGACCGGGCCGCGGGGGCGTTGACCCCCGGAACTCTCTCCAGGTAAACTCCAGGTAATTCCCCGCCCTCACGGGGCTAGTAGGGAGAAGCTAGGCCTCTGGTCTGCCATCTACCCCGCCTCAAAGGGGCTGTAGGTACCCGAGTGTTAGTGGACTGGTGTGTTTACCTGGAGAGAGTTTACCTGGAGAGAGTTTCGGGGGTCAACGCCCCCGCGGCCCGGTCTGTGACCAGGCCTCCTGGTGGATCAGCGCCTGATCAACCAGGCTGTTGCTGCTGGCTGCACGCAAACCAACGTACGAGCCACAGCCCGGCTGATCAGGAACTGCCTTTAGGTGCTTGTCCAGTGCCAGCTTGAAGACTGCCAGGGGTCTGTTGGTAATCCCCCTTATGTGTGCTGGGAGGCAGTTGAACAGTCTCGGGTGGGTGGCATCCTGGGGACAAAATTAACCTAAGTTACCAGAAATGCTCTACATAACCAGGAACTTTCTATACAGTATGTCACTGATGTCAGCTATGGTCTGTATAAGTTGTATCATGTACTGCTAGAAATAAACATTATTATTATTATTATTATTATTATTATTAACATCTGTATATGGAAGTAAGGGGGAGTTGACACACACACACACACACACACACACACACACACACACACACACACACACACACACACAGTATATATATGAGAGAGATGACTGTATTGAGGTACAGTGTCACTATGTTGTACTACTGCTGTGTCCTACTGCTGCTCCTACTGCAAGGTACCTTATTACCAACCTTATTTGTGTGAACATATCTCCTCCTCCTCAGTATAGTACAGTGTTACAGTCATACAGTGTACCTAACTCTCAGTATAGTACAGTGTCAGAAACAGTGTCAAGATTCTTGAGGTAAGAGTTACCATCTCTGACCCCAGGCTGGTCCTTTCTTACAGCCACACTACCATAGGCCTACTGGCCCATGCTAGGCAGGTCCACTCACAGCTCTCTCTCTCTCTCTTCTAGCAGCTTATCTAGCAGGCCAGCTGTGACTCACAGTTGTAATTATTCTTAATTACCAGATGTCTTGACACAGCTGACATAACAGCTGTTCACACACCTGTCATGTGGCACGTGTTTGTTTACATACAAATCAGCTGTTTCCTAAACCTTAATTAAGGGCGTACTTATGTAAATTTGAGCTATATTTCTATGGATGTAATTTGAATGAGTGTGACTGGAACTTGTGGAATGTGTCAGGTATTTTGTTTATTTCTGCTAGTGTGAGGTGGTTAGTCCCTCAGTCTTGATGGTAGGTGGTCAGTCCCTCAGTCTTGATGGTAGGTGGTTAGTCCCTCAGTCTTGATGGTAGGTGGTTAGTCCCTCAGTCTTGATGGTAGGTGGTTAGTCCCTCAGTCTTGATGGTAGGTGGTCAGTCCCTCAGTCTTGATGGTAGGTGGTCAGTCCCTCAGTCTTGATGGTAGGTGGTTAGTCCCTCAGACTTGATGGTGGGTGGTTAGTCCCTCAGTCTTGATGGTAGGTGGTTAGTCCCTCAGTCTTGATGGTAGGTGGTTAGTCCCTCAGTCTTGATGGTGGGTGGTTAGTCCCTCAGTCTTGATGGTAGGTGGTCAGTCCCTCAGTCTTGATGGTAGGTGGTCAGTCCCTCAGTCTTGATGGTAGGTGGTCAGTCCCTCAGTCTTGATGGTAGGTGGTCAGTCCCTCAGTCTTGATGGTAGGTGGTTAGTCCCTCAGTCTTGATGGTAGGTGGTTAGTCCCTCAGTCTTGATGGTGGGTGGTTAGTCCCTCAGTCTTGATGGTAGGTGGTTAGTCCCTCAGTCTTGATGGTAGGTGGTTAGTCCCTCAGTCTTGATGGTAGGTGGTTAGTCCCTCAGACTTGATGGTGGGTGGTTAGTCCCTCAGTCTTGATGGTAGGTGGTTAGTCCCTCAGTCTTGATGGTAGGTGGTTAGTCCCTCAGACTTGATGGTGGGTGGTTAGTCCCTCAGTCTTGATGGTATGTGGTTAGTCCCTCAGTCTTGATGGTGGGTGGTTAGTCCCTCAGTCTTGATGGTAGGTGGTTAGTCCCTCAGTCTTGATGGTGGGTGGTTAGTCCCTCACTCTTGATGGTAGGTGGTTAGTCCCTCAGTCTTGATGGTAGGTGGTTAGTCCCTCAGTCTTGATGGTGGGTGGTTAGTCCCTCAGTCTTGATGGTAGGTGGTTAGTCCCTCAGTCTTGATGGTAGGTGGTTAGTCCCTCAGTCTTGATGGTAGGTGGTTAGTCCCTCAGACTTGATGGTAGGTGGTCAGTCCCTCAGTCTTGATGGTAGGTGGTTAGTCCCTCAGTCTTGATGGTAGGTGGTCAGTCCCTCAGTCTTGATGGTAGGTGGTCAGTCCCTCAGTCTTGATGGTAGGTGGTCAGTCCCTCAGTCTTGATGGTAGGTTGTTAGTCCCTCAGTCTTGATGGTAGGTGGTTAGTCCATCAGTCTTGATGGTAGGTGGTTAGTCCCTCAGTCTTGATGGTAGGTGGTTAGTCCCTCAGTCTTGATGGTAGGTGGTTAGTCCCTCAGTCTTGATGGTAGGTGGTTAGTCCCTCAGACTTGATGGTAGGTGGTCAGTCCCTCAGTCTTGATGGTAGGTGGTTAGTCCCTCAGTCTTGATGGTAGGTGGTCAGTCCCTCAGTCTTGATGGTAGGTGGTTAGTCCCTCAGACTTGATGGTAGGTGGTCAGTCCCTCAGTCTTGATGGTAGGTGGTTAGTCCCTCAGTCTTGATGGTAGGTGGTTAGTCCCTCAGTCTTGATGGTAGGTGGTTAGTCCTTCAGTCTTGATGGTAGGTGGTCAGTCCCTCAGTCTTGATGGTAGGTGGTTAGTCCCTCAGTCTTGATGGTAGGTGGTTAGTCCCTCAGTCTTGATGGTAGGTGGTTAGTCCCTCAGTCTTGATGGTAGGTGGTTAGTCCCTCAGTCTTGATGGTAGGTGGTTAGTCCCTCAGTCTTGATGGTAGGTGGTTAGTCCCTCAGTCTTGATGGTAGGTGGTTAGTCCCTCAGTCTTGATGGTAGGTGGTCAGTCCCTCAGTCTTGATGGTAGGTGGTCAGTCCCTCAGACTTGATGGTAGGTGGTCAGTCCCTCAGACTTGATGGTAGGTGGTCAGTCCCTCAGACTTGATGGTAGGTGGTCAGTCCCTCAGACTTGATGGTAGGTGGTCAGTCCCTCAGACTTGATGGTAGGTGGTTAGTCCCTCAGTCTTGATGGTAGGTGGTTAGTCCCTCAGTCTTGATGGTAGGTGGTTAGTCCCTCAGACTTGATGGTAGGTGGTCAGTCCCTCAGACTTGATGGTAGGTGGTCAGTCCCTCAGTCTTGATGGTGGGTGGTTAGTCCCTCAGTCTTGATGGTAGGTGGTCAGTCCCTCAGTCTTGATGGTAGGTGGTCAGTCCCTCAGTCTTGATGGTAGGTGGTTAGTCCCTCAGTCTTGATGGTAGGTGGTTAGTCCCTCAGTCATGATGGTAGGTGGTTAGTCCCTCAGTCTTGATGGTAGGTGGTTAGTCCCTCAGTCTTGATGGTAGGTGGTTAGTCCTTCAGTCTTGATGGTAGGTGGTCAGTCCCTCAGTCTTGATGGTAGGTGGTTAGTCCCTCAGTCTTGATGGTAGGTGGTTAGTCCCTCAGTCTTGATGGTAGGTGGTTAGTCCCTCAGTCTTGATGGTAGGTGGTTAGTCCCTCAGTCTTGATGGTAGGTGGTCAGTCCCTCAGTCTTGATGGTAGGTGGTCAGTCCCTCAGTCTTGATGGTAGGTGGTCAGTCCCTCAGTCTTGATGGTAGGTGGTCAGTCCCTCAGACTTGATGGTATGTGGTGAGTCCCTCAGACTTGATGGTAGGTGGTCAGTCCCTCAGTCTTGATGGTAGGTGGTCAGTCCCTCAGTCTTGATGGTAGGTGGTTAGTCCCTCAGTGTTGATGGTAGGTGGTCAGTCCCTCAGTCTTGATGGTAGGTGGTCAGTCCCTCAGTCTTGATGGTAGGTGGTTAGTCCCTCAGTCTTGATGGTAGGTGGTTAGTCCCTCAGTCTTGATGGTAGGTGGTTAGTCCCTCAGTCTTGATGGTAGGTGGTTAGTCCCTCAGTCATGATGGTAGGTGGTTAGTCCCTCAGTCTTGGTGGGAGGTGGTCAGTCCCTCAGTCTTGATGGTAGGTGGTTAGTCCCTCAGTCTTGATGGTAGGTGGTTAGTCCCTCAGTCTTGATGGTAGGTGGTTAGTCCCTCAGACTTGATGGTAGGTGGTCAGTCCCTCAGTCTTGATGGTGGGTGGTTAGTCCCTCAGTCTTGATGGTAGGTGGTTAGTCCCTCAGTCTTGATGGTAGGTGGTCAGTCCCTCAGTCTTGATGGTAGGTGGTCAGTCCTCAGTCTTGATGGTAGGTGGTTAGTCCCTCAGTCTTGATGGTAGGTGGTTAGTCCCTCAGTCTTGATGGTAGGTGGTTAGTCCCTCAGTCTTGATGGTAGGTGGTTAGTCCCTCAGTCTTGATGGTAGGTGGTTAGTCCTTCAGTCTTGATGGTAGGTGGTCAGTCCCTCAGTCTTGATGGTAGGTGGTTAGTCCCTCAGTCTTGATGGTAGGTGGTTAGTCCCTCAGTCTTGATGGTAGGTGGTTAGTCCCTCAGTCTTGATGGTAGGTGGTTAGTCCCTCAGTCTTGATGGTAGGTGGTTAGTCCCTCAGTCTTGATGGTAGGTGGTCAGTCCCTCAGTCTTGATGGTAGGTGGTCAGTCCCTCAGTCTTGATGGTAGGTGGTCAGTCCCTCAGACTTGATGGTAGGTGGTCAGTCCCTCAGACTTGATGGTAGGTGGTCAGTCCCTCAGACTTGATGGTAGGTGGTCAGTCCCTCAGTCTTGATGGTAGGTGGTTAGTCCCTCAGTCTTGATGGTAGGTGGTCAGTCCCTCAGACTTGATGGTAGGTGGTCAGTCCCTCAGACTTGATGGTAGGTGGTCAGTCCCTCAGTCTTGATGGTAGGTGGTTAGTCCCTCAGTCTTGATGGTAGGTGGTTAGTCCCTCAGTCTTGATGGTAGGTGGTTAGTCCCTCAGTCTTGATGGTATGTGGTTAGTCCCTCAGTCTTGATGGTAGGTGGTTAGTCCCTCAGTCTTGATGGTAGGTGGTTAGTCCCTCAGTCTTGATGGTAGGTGGTTAGTCCCTCAGACTTGATGGTAGGTGGTCAGTCCCTCAGTCTTGATGGTGGGTGGTTAGTCCCTCAGTCTTGATGGTAGGTGGTCAGTCCCTCAGTCTTGATGGTAGGTGGTCAGTCCCTCAGTCTTGATGGTAGGTGGTTAGTCCCTCAGTCTTGATGGTAGGTGGTTAGTCCCTCAGTCTTGATGGTAGGTGGTTAGTCCCTCAGTCTTGATGGTAGGTGGTTAGTCCCTCAGACTTGATGGTAGGTGGTCAGTCCCTCAGTCTTGATGGTAGGTGGTTAGTCCCTCAGTCTTGATGGTAGGTGGTCAGTCCCTCAGTCTTGATGGTAGGTGGTCAGTCCCTCAGTCTTGATGGTAGGTGGTTAGTCCCTCAGTCTTGATGGTAGGTGGTTAGTCCCTCAGTCTTGATGGTAGGTGGTTAGTCCCTCAGTCTTGATGGTAGGTGGTTAGTCCCTCAGTCTTGATGGTAGGTGGTTAGTCCTTCAGTCTTGATGGTAGGTGGTCAGTCCCTCAGTCTTGATGGTAGGTGGTTAGTCCCTCAGTCTTGATGGTAGGTGGTTAGTCCCTCAGTCTTGATGGTAGGTGGTTAGTCCCTCAGTCTTGATGGTAGGTGGTTAGTCCCTCAGTCTTGATGGTAGGTGGTTAGTCCCTCAGTCTTGATGGTAGGTGGTCAGTCCCTCAGTCTTGATGGTAGGTGGTCAGTCCCTCAGTCTTGATGGTAGGTGGTCAGTCCCTCAGACTTGATGGTAGGTGGTCAGTCCCTCAGACTTGATGGTAGGTGGTCAGTCCCTCAGACTTGATGGTAGGTGGTCAGTCCCTCAGTCTTGATGGTAGGTGGTTAGTCCCTCAGTCTTGATGGTAGGTGGTTAGTCCTTCAGTCTTGATGGTAGGTGGTCAGTCCCTCAGTCTTGATGGTAGGTGGTTAGTCCCTCAGTCTTGATGGTAGGTGGTTAGTCCCTCAGTCTTGATGGTAGGTGGTTAGTCCCTCAGTCTTGATGGTAGGTGGTTAGTCCCTCAGTCTTGATGGTAGGTGGTTAGTCCCTCAGTCTTGATGGTAGGTGGTCAGTCCCTCAGTCTTGATGGTAGGTGGTCAGTCCCTCAGTCTTGATGGTAGGTGGTCAGTCCCTCAGACTTGATGGTAGGTGGTCAGTCCCTCAGACTTGATGGTAGGTGGTCAGTCCCTCAGACTTGATGGTAGGTGGTCAGTCCCTCAGACTTGATGGTAGGTGGTCAGTCCCTCAGTCTTGATGGTGGGTGGTTAGTCCCTCAGTCTTGATGGTAGGTGGTCAGTCCCTCAGACTTGATGGTAGGTGGTCAGTCCCTCAGACTTGATGGTAGGTGGTCAGTCCCTCAGTCTTGATGGTAGGTGGTTAGTCCCTCAGTCTTGATGGTAGGTGGTTAGTCCCTCAGTCTTGATGGTAGGTGGTTAGTCCCTCAGTCTTGATGGTAGGTGGTTAGTCCCTCAGTCTTGATGGTAGGTGGTTAGTCCCTCAGTCTTGATGGTAGGTGGTTAGTCCCTCAGTCTTGATGGTAGGTGGTTAGTCCCTCAGTCTTGATGGTAGGTGGTCAGTCCCTCAGACTTGATGGTAGGTGGTCAGTCCCTCAGTCTTGATGGTAGGTGGTTAGTCCCTCAGTCCTGATGGTAGGTGGTCAGTCCCTCAGTCTTGATGGTAGGTGGTTAGTCCCTCAGTCTTGATGGTAGGTGGTCAGTCCCTCAGTCTTGATGGTAGGTGGTCAGTCCCTCAGTCTTGATGGTAGGTGGTTAGTCCCTCAGTCTTGATGGTAGGTGGTTAGTCCCTCAGTCTTGATGGTAGGTGGTTAGTCCCTCAGTCTTGATGGTAGGTGGTTAGTCCCTCAGTCTTGATGGTAGGTGGTTAGTCCCTCAGTCTTGATGGTAGGTGGTTAGTCCCTCAGTCTTGATGGTAGGTGGTTAGTCCCTCAGTCTTGATGGTAGGTGGTTAGTCCCTCAGTCTTGATGGTAGGTGGTTAGTCCCTCAGTCTTGATGGTAGGTGGTTAGTCCCTCAGTCTTGATGGTAGGTGGTTAGTCCCTCAGTCTTGATGGTAGGTGGTCAGTCCCTCAGTCTTGATGGTAGGTGGTCAGTCCCTCAGTCTTGATGGTAGGTGGTCAGTCCCTCAGTCTTGATGGTAGGTGGTCAGTCTCTGTCTTGATGGTAGGTGGTCAGTCCCTCAGTCTTGATGGTAGGTGGTTAGTCAGTCAGTCTTGATGGTGGGTGGTCAGTCCCTCAGTCTTGATGGTAGGTGGTCAGTGTTGATGGTGGGTGGTCAGTCCCTCAGTCTTGATGGTAGGTGGTCAGTCCCTCATTCTTGATGGTAGGTGGTCAGTCCCTCAGTATTGATGGTAGGTGGTCAGTCCCTCAGTCTTGATGGTAGGTGGTCAGTCCCTCAGTCTTGATGGTAGGTGGTTAGTCCCTCAGTCTTGATGGTAGGTGATCAGTCCCTCAGTCTTGATGGCAAGTGGTCAGTCCCTCAGTCTTGATGGTAGGTGGTCAGTCCCTCAGTCTTGATGGTGGGTGGTCAGTCCCTCAGTCTTGATGGTAGGTGGTCAGTCCCTCAGTCTTGATGGTAGGTGGTCAGTCCCTCAGTCTTAATGGCAGGTGGTCAGTCCCTCAGTCTTGATGGTAGGTGGTTAGTCCCTCAGTCTTGATGGTAGGTGGTTAGTCCCTCAGTCTTGATGGTAGGTGGTCAGTCCCTCAGTCTTGATGGTGAGTGGTCAGTCCCTCAATCTTGATGGTAGGTGGTCAGTCCCTCAGTCTTGATGGTGGGTGGTCAGTCCCTCAATCTTGATGGTAGGTGGTCAGTCCCTCAGTCTTGATGGCAGGTGGTCAGTCCCTCAGTCTTGATGGTAGGTGGTCAGTCCCTCAGTCTTGATGGTAGGTGGTCAGTCCCTCAATCTTGATGGTAGGTGGTCAGTCCCTCAGTCTTGATGGTAGGTGGTCAGTCCCTCAATCTTGATGGTAGGTGGTCATTCCCTCAGTCTTGATGGTAGGTGGCCAGTCCCTCAGTCTTGATGGTGGGTGGTCAGTCCCTCAGTCTTGATGGTGGGTGGTCAGTCCCTGAGTCTTGATGGTGGGTGGTCAGTCCCTCAGTCTTGATGGTGGGTGGTCAGTCCCTCAGTCTTGATGGTGGGTGGTCAGTCCCTCAGTCTTGATGGTAGGTGGTCAGTCCCTCAGTCTTGATGGCAGGTGGCCAGTCCCTCAGTCTTGATGGCAGGTGGTCAGTCCCTCAATCTTGATGGTGAGTGGTCAGTCAGTCAATCTTGATGGTGAGTGGTCAGTCAGTCAGTCTTGATGGTGAATGGTCAGTCAGTCTTGATGGTGAGTGTTCAGTCAGTTAGTCTTGATGGTGAGTGGTCAGTCAGTCAGTCTTGATGGTGAGTAGTCAGTCAGTCAATCTTGATGGTGAGTGGTCAGTCAGTCAATCTTGATGGTGAGTGGTCAGTCAGTCTTGATGGTGAGTGGTCAGTCAATCAGTCTTGATGGTGAGTGGCCAGTCAGTCAATCTTGATGGTGAGTGGTCAGTCAGTCAGTCTTGATGGTGAGTGGTCAGTCAATCAGTCTTGATGGTGAGTGGCCAGTCAGTCAATCTTGATGGTGAGTGGTCAGTCAGTCAATCTTGATGGTAGGTAGTCAGTCCCTCAGTCTTGATGGTAAGTAGTCAGTCCCTCAGTCTTGATGGTAGGTGGTCAGTCCCTCAGTCTTGATAATGGGTAGTCAGTCCGTCTTGATGGTAGACACCTAGCGGTCCTCCAGTGAACTAGAGAAGGATGCTTGTAGCCATCTTTTGGACAAGAACCGTGCTGACAGCACCTTACAAGTCTTTCCTGAGTCCCACAAGGTTTCCCATCGTTACCTGACAGTTAATAACGCACTTCAGAGGCCTTACAACATATGGGAACGAGTCTCTGTGCCAGGCCCGTTGGTGATATTTCTGTATATGACCTCCGAGTCTCATGACCATAATACTGGGTGGGGAAATGACCATCGATCAAGTCACTCTGACTTTTCTGGGTTATCCCAGGATCTCTACACATATGCTGCTTTGTATGATAATGTAACTGTATTTGTGTATATCTGAATAAATTATTACTTAGTTAATTTGTAATTGTTACACCCTTTTGTTCATTTTGTTCATTTTCTTATTATCACAATGGTATACTATTACATGTTATTTTTGCTATTTCACTTAATATTATATTCAGGAGTAATTCCATTAGTAGCTAAAATGGATTTACTCGACTTTATAATATTATCTGGTCGTATTACTTAGCTTTGTATTTAGGTAGGCCATTTAATTAGTGTCAACTGCTGGTGACCTGGCCAAGCACCAGTAGGTGTTTTGAGCTGCTCGACCCCTGCTCCGACCGAGGCAAAGTGGGCTGGTAAAGCGTCACAGAGTTCAGTTCTTACCTTCCTCACCTCTCGTGAGGGAAGCTCCCTGATTCCTGGATTTAAACTTCTGGTCCCACATGAGGTTTCCTAGTGACCCTCCAGTACCTCGGACGGTATCTGACAGAAACGTCTCGGACGAAGTGTGTGTTGCTGTTTTGGAGACGCTGGTGATTGTCCCTAGCTCTGCTAGGAGTGAATTTAAGCAGTATTGGTTCAAAGAGGACGGTGAAAAAGTCATGGGAGACAGACTCTCCTCAAAATTCCTTTAAGTGTAAAATATTCCTAATCTCACTTAGTATATTATGAAAGTTGAATAAGAGTGAATTATTATTGAAGTGTTACGTCTTCTGTCTCATTTGGATTGAGTTAAGTAAAGTGTTATTATGTGAAGAGAAGGTGTTATGATACTAGAGCCGTTCAGTACTATAATCAAGATAATACTGTGTATTATCTTTTAAGTAAACTTAAGTGTAAATTTCATGAGTACTCTGTTTTATGGTGCGACCTTTTTAAAGTTAATATAAAACCCGTCTATGGTTTATTAAGAAACTTAATAAAAAACCGGAAAGAAACATTGTTTACTACTGAACCTTGAATGATTTTATCTAGAACAGGATATTCAATCCTGTTTATTTGTTGCAAGAAAGGGCTAAACAGGCTTAAGTAGTGGCCCTGTACGCAACAGTAATTTATATGTACTAAGACGATAGAAGTCTTGGTGACGGTGACGGTCCTTCCCAGAGAACTTCTCAACTGGTGGCAGATGTTACTTACATTATCATGCACTCGTTTGCTTAATATATGTAATTTTTGTCCAGTCAGCCTACCATTTGAAGCCTATCCCAGTCGGGTGATGCTGTAACTGCTAATCAGCCTACCATTTCAGGCCTAACGGAGTCGGGTGATGCTGTAACTATTAATCACATTACCATTTCAGGCCTATCCCAGTCGGGTGATGCTGTAACTACTAATCAGCCTACCATTTCAGGCCTATCCCAGTCAGGTGATGCAATAACTACCAACTATCCTACTATTTCAGGCCTATTCCAATTGGGTGATGCAGCAACTGCTAATCGGCCTAGCATTTCAAGCCTGTTCCAGTCGGGTGACGAAGTAACTACCAACCAGCCTATTCCAGGCCTATCCCAATCGACAGATACCCTAACTACAACCAGCGTCACAACAACCTCAGGACACGTCATAACGCTAACCTCAGCGCCTAGACAGGAATCTTGGGATGTATACAAACAGCTGCTAGAGGCGCCAACACAGTGTAACTACACTGTGTTGGCTGTGGATCATACCATGACACTTGCAGCGAATACCGAGTGTAGCATTACCAGGTCTGGAGTTACACTGAGTGAGAGAGAAGAGATACTGAGAGTCCATAATACACTGAGAGCCAAGGTAAGAGCACTCTTTATATAAGAGTAAACAAGAGCAATAAGAAATAAAGAGAATGATAATTCTTCTTCCTCTTCTTCTATTTCTGTGTAATTAACGTAATTAATCAATGCATTGATATTATTAATGTTGTTAGTCAGCCTAATTACCTATTCCGTGCTACAGGTTGCTAATGGGATGGAAGAGACGGGAGATGAGGGACCCCAGCCCTCAGGGTCAGACCTGAGACAGTTGGTATGGAACGAGGAGCTGGCACAGGTGGCTCAGGTGAGCACAGGTGGCTCAAGTGAGCTAAAATATATATACTCCATGTAAAAAGGGTCTGTATTGGATTGCTAAAAGGCCTGGTGTCCGAAACATAACTTTTATAAATGCCCTTATACTTCATTTTTACCTTACATAAATCTTTTCTGACGACAGTTACCGTCGCAGTTATTCCCAGAGCGAGAACAGGGAACCCACATCACATATTTACTCTGACCCATATCACATCAGATTTACTCAACAAATCACTTCAGAGTCGTGGTACTAACGTAGTCAGTTCAAACTATCTTTGAGATAGGTAAACATGGACACACACCATGGAAATAAGTCACTTTGACTTTTCTGAATCATCTTGGAATGTAATTTACATATGTTACTATTCAAAGCAGCCACATTATACCTTCATAATGTAAGAAATCACGAAAGCGCTTGGAATTTCATTACTTTTTTCACAGTGGTTGTTTTGCATATTGTGATATCACCTGTTTACTGTGATCTTACTGTACATACGTTACTGTGTATGATAATTGTACTTATGTGTACCAGTGCCAAAATAAACTAAGCAAGTACCAGCACTGTTACTGTGTGCACACCATCCCTGGTGCAGGCTGCGATAAATAATACATTGGATGAACTCCACGGAATATAACATGACAACACATCTAGCTTTGGTTCCCACTGTCTCGCAATCATATAGAGTAGTATGGTATTAAGTCCTAGTAGTAGATACCGACAAGGTTACCTGGAGGTTATTCCGGGGATCAACGCCCCCGCGGCCCGGTCCATGACCAGGTCTCCCGATGGATCAGGGCCTGATCAACAAGGTGATTTAGAAAAACACGTAAACAGACACCAGGACATATTAAAAAAACGTTGTGGTCCTGGAACCTTGATTACTCTAACATAGGTTAAAAACACAGTACCACTAAACTGTTGGTGTATCCAATGTCCTCTGAAAAAATACATAAACAATACAGTCTTGAACACTTTCTCCTGGCATACATTAACATCGTTTCGCCCTTGTGTTGATTCTCGGCCAGGCCTTGGCCAGCCAATGTCGCCGTGGTCACGACGGCTCTAACCAGAGGAGGATCTGCTCTAGAAGTTACGCTGTTGGCCAGAATATATTCCGCCAGTGGAGCTTCAACTCGGAATCGGTGAGACCCCAGTTCGATACAACTGCCGGGAAGCTTGTACTGGAGCCACGATGAGCTCTGTATAGAGCTTTATCGAGCCATGTTTCACTCTGTAGAGCTTTATTATGTTTCACTCTGTGTAGAGCTTTATGTTTCACTCTGTGTAGAGCTTTATAATGTTTCACACTCTGTAGAGCTTTATAATGTTTCACACTCTGTAGAGCTTTATAATGTTTCACACTCTGTAGAGCTTTATTATGTTTCACTCTGTGTAGAGCTTTATCATGTTTCACTCTGTGTAGAGCTTTATTATTCACTCTCTGTAGAGCTTTATTATGTTTCACTCTGTGTAGAGCTTTATCATGTTTCACTCTGTGTAGAGCTTTATTATTCACTCTCTGTAGAGCTTTATTATGTTTCACTCTGTGTAGAGCTTTATTATGTTTCACTCTGTGTAGAGCTTATGTTTCACTCTCTGTAGAGCTTTGTTTCACTATCTGTAGAGCTTTACCATGTTTCACTATGTAGAGCTTTATGTTTCACTTTGTGTACAGCTTTATTATGTTTCACTCTCTGTAGAGCTTTGTTTCACTATGTAGAGCTTTGTTTCACTCTGTGTACAGCTTTATAAAATCATGTCACTACGGTGACAATAAAGCTCTACTCAGGGCAAAACGTCGCCCCAAAGCTTATTATCAGTGCACTTTACATTTGACAGAAATATTGTTACAATTCTCATAGCCTCGTTAAATGTGTTAAATTAGACACATGTGCAACACTTGGGTATCATTATTGAGGAAACGTTTCGCCACACAGTGGCTTCATCAGTCCATACGTAGGAGAAACTTGAACAGGAGGAGAATGAGGTAATCAGTCCCTCAATCTCCTCCTGTTCTTCAAGATTCTCCTTTGTATGGACTGATGAAGCCACTGTGTGGCGAAACGTTTCCTCAATAAAGATACCCAAGAGTTGCACATGTGTCTAATTTATCAACGTGTCGGTTCACTGAACCATTCATCTACATGCCTCGTTAAATGCCTAGCAACACTAGTACATAGATTTCCTAGCATATAAGACTCGTAGAGTACCTAGGATTTACTAGCAAATAAGACTCCTAGAGTACCTAGGATTTCCTAGCATATAAGACTCCTAGAGTACCTAGGATTTACTAGCATATAAGACTCCTAGTGTACCTAGGATTTACTAGCATATAAGACTCCTAGAGTACCTAGGATTTACTAGCATACAAGACAGAGTACCTAGGATTTCCTAGCATATAAGACTCATAGAGTACCTAGGATTTACTAGCATATAAGACTCCTAGAGTACCTAGGATTTACTAGCATATAAGACTCCTAGAGTACCTAGGATTTACTAGCATATAAGACTCCTAGAGTACCTAGGATTTACTAGCATATAAGACTCCTAGAGTACCTAGGATTTACTAGCATATAAGACTCCTAGAGTACCTAGGATTTCCTAGCATATAAGACTCCTAGAGTACCTAGGATTTACTAGCATATAAGACTCCTAGAGTACCTAGGATTTCCTAGCATATAAGACTCCTAGAGTACCTAGGATTTACTAGCATATAAGACTCCTAGAGTACCTAGGATTTCCTAGCATGTAAGACAGAGTACCTAGGATTTCCTAGCATGTAAGACAGAGTACCTAGGATTTCCTAGCATGTAAGACAGAGTACCTAGGATTTCCTAGCATGTAAGACAGAGTACCTAGGATTTCCTAGCATGTAAGACAGAGTACCTAGGATTTCCTAGCATGTAAGACAGAGTACCTAGGATTTCCTAGCATATAAGACAGAGTACCTAGGATTTCCTAGCATATAAGACAGAGTACCTAGGATTTCCTAGCATATAAGACTCCTAGAGTACCTAGGATTTCCTAGCATATAAGACTCCTAGAGTACCTAGGATTTCCTAGCATGTAAGACAGAGTACCTAGGATTTCCTAGCATGTAAGACAGAGTACCTAGGATTTCCTAGCATATAAGACTCCTAGAGTACCTAGGATTTCCTAGCATGTAAGACAGAGTACCTAGGATTTCTAGCATGTAAGACAGAGTACCTAGGATTTCCTAGCATATAAGACTCCTAGAGTACCTAGGATTTCCTAGCATGTAAGACAGAGTACCTAGGATTTCCTAGCATGTAAGACAGAGTACCTAGGATTTCCTAGCATGTAAGACAGAGTACCTAGGATTTCCTAGCATGTAAGACAGAGTACCTAGGATTTCCTAGCATGTAAGACAGAGTACCTAGGATTTCCTAGCATGTAAGACAGAGTACCTAGGATTTCCTAGCATATAAGACAGAGTACCTAGGATTTCCTAGCATGTAAGACAGAGTACCTAGGATTTCCTAGCATGTAAGACAGAGTACCTAGGATTTCCTAGCATGTAAGACAGAGTACCTAGGATTTCCTAGCATGTAAGACAGAGTACCTAGGATTTCCTAGCATATAAGACAGAGTACCTAGGATTTCCTAGCATATAAGACAGAGTACCTAGGATTTCCTAGCATATAAGACTCCTAGAGTACCTAGGATTTCCTAGCATATAAGACTCCTAGAGTACCTAGGATTTCCTAGCATATAAGACTCCTAGAGTACCTAGGATTTCCTAGCATATAAGACTCCTAGAGTACCTAGGATTTCCTAGCATATAAGACTCCTAGAGTACCTAGGATTTCCTAGCAGACTTCACAATGAGGCAGCCATTAATAACTTCACAACAGCAATAGCAAACACTGACTGGCACACTGAGCTAGAAACCTATACAGATATTGACGAATGTGTTAATAATTTTCTAAAAAAAACCCAATACCTCTATAACAAGCACTGCCCTAAAAAAAACTAAACAGATGACAGCTAAGAGACTGAACAGTCCCTGGTTAACACCCAGCATTCTCAAATCCATAAATACAAAACACCAATATGAAAAACAGTACAGAATGGGTCACATAACCAGAGACCAAACAAAACGTTACTCGTCAATCCTAACCAGCCTGATAAGAAGGGCAAAAAAATTGTATTATGAGAACAGATTATCCAACTTACGAGGTGATATAAAAAAGACCTGGAAAACCCTATCAGAAATTCTGGGAACAAAAAAGATATCGCGAAATAGCGAAATAAAATTAGCAAAATCAGATGAACCTCAACTCCCACCAACAGAAACAGCAAACAGACTCAATGATTTCTTCTCCACTATAGGACAAAACCTTGCCAATAAAATCCCAAGCTCAGATACCCCACCAAATGACTACCTCACCGGCAACTACCCGAACACAATGTTCCTAGCTCCGACTAACCCATACGAAGTCTCCCTTATTATCAACACACTAAAAAACAAGGCAGGAGATTTAAATACCTTACCACCCTTTATATACAAAAAAGTGTCACAAGTGCTATCACCAATCATTGCAACACTCTTTAACAAATCCATTGAATCCTCCACCTTCCCTACAGTACTCAAAATAGCAAGGGTCACCCCGATCCACAAAGGAGGAGACCAAACAGAGTTGAATAACTATAGGCCAATATCCAACTTACACCCTCTCTCAAAAATCTTCGAAAAATTAATTCATAAACGAATCTACTCCTACCTTATCTCCCAAAACATACTCAACCCCTGCCAATTTGGATTCAGGCCTAATAAAAATACTAATGATGCTATTATACACATGCTAGAACATATATACACTGCAATAGAGAAAAAAGAAGTCCCACTGGGGATCTTCATTGACTTACGTAAAGCTTTTGTTACAGTTGACCATGACTTGCTCCACGTAAAATTGTCACACTATGGTATAAGAGGGCACTCCCTCAACTACCTCAAGTCATACCTCAGCAACAGAAGCCAATATGTGTACGCAAATGGGGCAAACTCTTCTGCGCAACCAATTACAGTTGGTGTCCCACAGGGAAGTGTCCTTGGCCCTCTTCTCTTTCTCCTATACATAAATGACCTTCCAAATGCTTCGCAATTACTTAAACCCACACTATTTGCAGATGACACTACATACGTCTTCTCTCACCCGAGCCCAGTCACGCTAGCCAATACTGTAAATACCGAATTACAGAAAATGTCTACCTGGATGAGGACTAACAAACTTACACTAAACATTGACAAAACCTACTTCATTCAGTTTGGTAACAGAGCTACAGATGTCCCTCTTAACATAATGATAAACGGATCACCTATCACAAAACTAACAGAGGGAAAATTCTTAGGAATCCACCTTGATAATAGACTCAAATTTCATACACATATACAACAAATTTCTAAGAAAATTTCCAAGACTGTAGGCATACTATCGAAGATACGGTACTATGTTCCACAGTCAGCCCTCCTGGCCCTTTATCACTCTCTTATTTACCCCTATCTCACCTATGGAATTTGTGCATGGGGCTCAACAACAAGTAACCATCTCAGACCACTAATTACCCAACAAAAGACTGCAGTTAGAATGATAACAAATTCTCACTATAGGCAGCACACTCCACCAATATTCAATACACTCAACCTACTCACCATACAAAACATCCATACTTATTACTGCACCTACTACATACATAGAACACTTAACTCTGATATTAACCCTCCCCTCAAACATCTTGCCAACCTCAACAGAACACATGACCATAACACAAGGCACAGATCACTCTTTGATGTTCCTCGTGTCCATCTCACACTATGCAAAAACTCAATGCACATAAAAGGCCCTAAAATCTGGAATTCATTACCTGTAAATATAAAAGAAACACTACCTGTTTATAAATTCAAGTCTCTTCTCAAAGATCACTTGCTCACCCAAAACCAAATAAATACTGAATAACTGAACATTATAAATTGTATATCTTAAATGTTTCTCACAATTATATCACATAAATGTTAAACCTAAAACAGAATCTAACTTTATTATTTTTTAAATACACTACCTAACAGAATCACTACCTAACTGAATACAACCATATGACCTGTCTTCGTAATACTCACTTGTGCTTTATAGTTATCTGTTTACATTAATGTTTTATCACTGATTTCATCATTGCTTAGTAGCAGCGCTGTATAGTCCTTGTGGCTTAGCGCTTCTTTTTGATTATAATAATAATAATAATCATTGCTTAGTTAATCTTAAGTTAATTTTAAGCCAGCCCGTAATGCTATGCATAGTATAAGTGGCTTTGGCATACTGCTCTTATCTGTATTTTTTGTACCTCTGTATGTGTGCACAAATTAAAATAAATAAATAAATAATTAAATATAAGACTCCTAGAGTACCTAGGATTTCCTAGCATATAAGACTCCTAGAGTACCTAGGATTTCCTAGCATATAAGACTCCTAGAGTACCTAGGATTTCCTAGCATATAAGACTCCTAGAGTACCTAGGATTTCCTAGCATATAAGACTCCTAGAGTACCTAGGATTTCCTAGCATATAAGACTCCTAGAGTACCTAGGATTTCCTAGCATATAAGACTCCTAGAGTACCTAGGATTTCCTAGCATATAAGACTCCTAGAGTACCTAGGATTTCCTAGCATATAAGACTCCTAGAGTACCTAGGATTTCCTACCATATAAGACTCCTAGAGTACCTAGGATTTCCTAGCATATAAGACTCCTAGAGTACCTAGGATTTCCTAGCATATAAGACTCTAGAATACCTAGGATTTCCTAGCATATAAGACTCCTAGAGTACCTAGGATTTCCTAGCATATAAGACTCCTAGAGTACCTAGGATTTCCTAGCATATAAGACTCCTAGAGTACCTAGGATTTCCTAGCATATAAGACTCCTAGAGTACCTAGGATTTCCTAGCATATAAGACTCCTAGAGTACCTAGGAT